GCCACATTGTCCCATGAATTAAAAACAATATACCAAGAGTCCAAACATTTCAATGTAAAAAATATTAAGCCTTTCTTTTTTTAGGAAGACAAATATTAAACTTTGCTTTAACTATCCTGTTGATTGTTTTTCCTTTTCCTTTTTTATTTATTTTCTTTTGGTTTGACTCATGTAGCTTAAATTTATTTCGAAAACAGTTTTATACATACTTAAGAATACTGCACGTAGGGGAAAGCATCAAAATTCCATTTCGCATTTCAAGAGAAAAGTGAGAGGAGGCCATCCTCCTGTCAGAAGAGGGGCAAAATGTCAAATAATACCAAGGTTTTATAACTTACTTTTATGTTGCTTGGTTAAGTTATTTATCATTATCGACTAGAGATATTTAGCTATTTAAATGTGAAATAAGCAGGTAAATGCAATTTAAGTTAAGCAAGTTTCATGTTTGCTTTTGTGAAATGAAGTCCTGGACATAAGCATGGGAAGAACTCAACACATTTTGTTGTAGTGTTTGTTTTAAATAGGAAATAGAGACAGGGTCTCTCTACATTCCCCAGGCTGGTCTCGAACTCCTGGCCCCAAGTGATCTTCTGCCTCATTGTTGTAGTTTTTATTGTTGTATTTAATGCATTAGCCAGCCAGTTGCTGTAACATTTTATTTGCTAACTTTTTTAAATGAGAGGAAGGTAAAAGCACTCTGTGCCATAGTTCCCTACCCTCTCTTTTCCTATTCATTTCTACTTCTCTGTGATATAAGCCTAGATATCAAGATCACAAAATATTTGTATCCCAATCTTTACACACACATTCTTTCACCTTTTCTCTAAAAAGAGAGTGTTAATTTGTGTCACTCTTACGTAGTAATCAAGAAGAGAAATAATAATGTTCCACCTAGCATGTAGATTGTTTTTCTCTCCTGAAATGCAGCTTTTAGTTACTGCTGTATTGGGAAATGTGGTTAGGCCACTTTCTGACTGGCAGAACTCCTCCCTGAGATGACTACCTGATGAAAGAATTACCTGCCTGTGTGCCTTCCCAGCTCCAGTCCTTAGCACATTCCCATCACTGCTGTGGCCAGAGTTGGAGTTGCCAAGACTAAGGTGCTGGTGGAGGGACGATAACTCCTTGATTATCGAGAGAGAAGTGCTTTAATCTTTGACTTTTGTAAGAGGGATACTAGGTAAAAGCTACCTTCGGCGTTTTGAATTCCAGTGCTGTTGTGTAGAGCTTGATGAGGAACGATTACCTCATTCAGCTAGGGGGGTATTTTTTGAACCCTCTACCCTCTGGCAAAGTTATAATTGACCCCACAGTTATGTAGGAAGGAGTATTTACTTTACATGTTCTTGACAGTTTCAGGTTTACATGTTTGAAGTGTTGAGAAAAGGTAAAAGGAAATATTGAACTCCTAAGAATGTAAAATATTTGGGAAGGTACTTTGTTCCTAGTGATGCTGTTACATAAAACCAAAGCCTTCTGAGTAATCTTTGCTGGGTATGTAGGTCATTTACCTCCAAAGAAAAAGGCACACAATTAAACTGGCGCTATTGAACGGTATTATTTTTCTTTCTATTCCTTTAAGCAGTCAAATAGTTGAGAGACAAATTTATAAATGCTGAATGTTTCAAATGGGAAAAGCAAGCCTAATATATTTTTCTAGTTGATTTTCATAATGACCCACAGTATACAGAGAAAAAGGTGTAATCACAGGAATTTGTGAAAATTACGGCTTCACTTACCATTCTTTGGTGTTTGTAATAGGATATTAATTTCCAGAGGACAGAGATGGCGTTTGTTCTCTGTCTCAGATATATAGTGCAGTGCCTTGCACATACTGTTAAACAGCACGATCAAATAATTGTAGAATTTTGAGCCTAAAATTGTAAATTCTCTTGTCCAGTATTTCGTAACCTTTTCTAACCCACTCCTCTCTCATGTATTGTTGGAGTGTCCTTTGGCTTTTAATCCAGTTTTATCTTCTATGATTTGCATTACAAAAACAATAGCTATATTGAAACTTTTTGCTAATTACACTATCTCCTTCTCCACCCAAAAGAACCCAACCCACTCCTTTTACGGGGAATGAAAATAAGCCTAAGGGAGATGAATTGATTAGTCCAAAGTCATACTACTTAACCAATTGTTCTGTCAGGGCCCATCTCTTACCTCCCAGATAAAATCCTTTCTGTCAGAGTGAATGCTCACGTGAACAGGGCACTGTGAAGAATGCAAAAGAAGAGGACCAAGCGAACACTGTTTTCACCTTTGAGAGCTGTGTGCTGCTAGGGGACACAGGTTGCACTTAGTTCTACAAATTACATAATGATCAGTGATGTGTGAGACATTCTGGTAGAAGAATCCAGCAAAGATAGGTTAATTCAGGTACTCTGTAAAGGCTTAATGAAGGTAGCAAGAGCCGTTTCACCAGGACCTTAAAAGATGGATTCAATTTTCAAAGATGAGGCTGGAGTAAGATCTGATTTCTGTTTCTCCTTTTCCCAGCCAGACTCTTGCATTGCTGTTTACATTTGGTTATCCCTTTTTTTCACCTGCTGTTCATTTCATAATGGAATACAGCTGGGTCCTTTTTCCATCACCCTTATTTAAACACCAGTCTCTGATGTTCCTAAGTGCTGGAGTTCTTGAGGGTTCCAGTGCTAGCCCTGGTTGGTCTCCTCCTCTTTTCATCTTTGTTAGTTGGTTCTTCATCTGTTGTGAGATCGTGAACTCCTTTGAAAATGTGAGGCTCTCAGTTACCATAAGAATTCTTACCAACTTAGACACAAACATTATTATAATCTTGGATGTTTTCTGACCTTTAAAACTCATCTATGGCTCTTAACACCTAGTTAAATGTCCTGAATTATATGTTGATAATTTGAGTACTCTTTCTCAGCCCAATTCTCATTCCATAGATCTATGGATCTAACGGTTTAAATCCAAAACGGCTTATATAGCCCACAGCAACTCAGAGTCAGAATGCCCACAGCAGATCTTATCATCCTTTCCCTTAAACCTGGTCTTCTTGGCTGTTCCTTGTACAGTGGCTCAGCCAGGTTTTCTTTTACTTTTCTGTCTCTCATTCTCCACACCGAATGACCAAACCCTGTCAGTTTTACCTCCCAAGTATCTCGATTTATTGGCCACTCTTGCCTAAGCGATCTTTGCCTTTCTTCTGGATTGCTGCAATAGCCAGTTGCAGTTGCTGCTCTCTGCCTCCTCTTGGGCCCCTCTTAACTGTCTTGTCAAGGCAGCCAGAATGACTTTTCTGAAATACCAATCTGATAATGCCATTCCATAGCTCGAAGCTGTTCTGCGGCGTTCTTTTGCTCTTCGGAGTGCCTCTGCCTCTTCCTTTGGCTTGCATGGCCCTTTATGTGGCAGCAGCACATCCATCCAGTAGTGTTTGTTGCTCCCTTCTCCACTCAGTCTCTCCCCTTCAGCTATACTGAACTTTCATGGTCCAGATCAGCTCTGAGATCTCTCTCTCTCCGGGCCTTTGCACCTGCTCTCCTCTCCTCCAGGAGTCCTTGACCCTCTCTTTTCCGTCTCACAACCAGGCTAACTTTGGGAGCCTTTTCTGACCTCCACCACCACTGCCACATGTACACACAGACATATTGTGCTGGGAGCATCTGTTTTGTCCTCTCTGTTATTCTCATAGCATAGCACTTGCCACACTTGATATTTGCTTGTTTACTTGCTTATTTCCCCTCCCATGGTGGGGCCATGTTGTGACTTTTGTGAGCCCCAGGTACATAGGTCCCTTCATAGGTCCTCCCTTCCTAGGTTAAAAAAATTAAAAATTGTATTTTGCAGCTATGTCAGTATAAAGATGAATATATTCTAACCTGTAGTAGTTATTTTTCATTTTTTATTTTGATTTTTAAAAGAAAATATTAAGACACTTTTTGTGTGCTCCTAAAAGTATCATGGGCCCCAAGCACTGTGCCTTCTGTCTGATGGATATGTTGGCCCTGTTAAATGAACAGAAATACTTTTAAGATAAAGTTGACAGCATATGTCAACTGATTGATTGGGACTAAGAAAAGGGAGGAGTTACTCAGTTATTTTGTCATGTGGCACTGTTATCATGGCTTAGATAGCTCACTAAAACACTCTTAACACTTTGTATTTTAGGCTGGGCACGGTGGTTCATCCCTGTAATCCCCGCACTTTGGGAGGTGGGGTGGCTGTATCCTCTGAGGTCGGGAGATAAGAGACCAGCCTGGCCAACATGGTGAAACCCCGTCTCTACTAATAATACAGAAATTAGTCAGGTGTGGTGGTGCATGCCTATAATTCTAGCTACTCGGTAAGCTGAGGCAGGAGAATCACTTGAACCTGGGAGGCAGAGATTGCGGTGAGCCGAGATCGTGCCATTGCACCCCAGCCAGGGCAACAAGAGTGAAACCCTGTCTCAAAAAAAAAAAAGGCTTTGTATTTTAGTCCCTGGTAATGGAAAAATATATGTGTATATATATAGATTTATATAAAATATATTTAAAAATATGTATTTAGGAGCAAAATTTGATTATGTAAAAAATGTGTTCTATGAGCTGCTTAATATGCACAATTTCTTCACGATGTTTCTGTGTACGACAGTTTTTAGTAGACGTGGGTAGGTAATTTTGACCCCTCCATGGGACATTTTGAAACAGGAAAGGTTTCCTTGTCCCCCTCGCAAGGCATGCAATGGGGATGTGCTCACTTCTTCAGGGCCCCACTGCTCAAACCTCTAGGGGAGCATACAGACGAGCAGGCTGAGGGGCTCCCACCCCACCGCAGTGTCCAGGGGTGAAAGTTTACAACTGAAGCCCCAGGGGGCATGTGTTATGGGGTGCTCTTTTAGTTTGCCCTCTATAGACAACTTGTGTTAACCAGCTCAGTTAAACCCCCTTCCTTATCACAAGGACAGAGGGATTTCTGTATCCCAGGGTTTCTTGCCTTGGTGTACCAGAAGAATTGGATCACACGTGGAGCTGGAGAATGAGTGCAAGGTTTTATTGAGCAGAAATAGCTCTCAGCAGATGGGGGAGCCAGAAGGGAGATGGTTTTCCCCTGGAGTGGGGCCACTCAGCCGCCTGACTCTTCTCCAGCTTCTCCGGCCATACTCTGAGTTGTTCGGCCAGTCCACGTCAGCTTGCCTGCGGGTGCTCTTCCACGGTGTGCTCTCTCGAGGACCAGCCGCTTGTGTCTTCTCCCGCGAACGTCTTCATCAGGACCTCCAGCCGCTTGTTCCTAGGGACTCTGGAGGGGGAGGTTTTTATAGACACAGATGGGGGCGTGGCCGGCCAGGGTGGTCTTGGGAAAGGCGACCTTTGGGCGCCAAGGCTGGAGTGCCAGGCCTCACCTAGGATCGTGGGGGTGGATCCCTAGTCAGGGACCACGCCTTCCTCCCTTCGAGATCATTTAAAGGGACCACGCTCTTCCCTTCCCAGCACTTCCATATCAATTTAACAATTTCTGGAGACATTTTGGTTGCTACAGCTAGGAGGAGGAATGCTTCTGGTATCTAGTGGGAAGAAGCAGGGATGCTACTAAACAGGCTGTGTTGCACATATTTATCTGGCTGAAAATATCAGTGTGCTGAAGTTGAGAAATCCTCATGTAGAGGGGTTCATAAAGCTTGGTTCTTTTAGTATTATGCAATTTTTAAGCAGCACAGCATATTCCTTTCATCTCACGGAAGAGAGATGAAAGTTACTCACAGTTTTGGTTCTTGCTTTGCTATTCCACTCTTTGTAAGTGTTTACTTCTATTGGATTTTCTTTCTTGTCTCTTTATTAAGAGACATCATTAAATATTCGTTTAGTATATTCCTATGTTTCCAGTTGGATTGTGTCATAGCACCGGAAGCAAGCATTTATTTTTCTGACTAAAATAATGTTTGAGAAAAACAGTCATTGAGATGGCTGAGCCTTTGATCACTAGAGGGTTTAGGTGATAGGCAAATTCTCTCTCCAAGGATCTGTTGTCATTTAAATCATTACCAAAATACTCATTTTTTTCCTTTACTCTCCTAGCTTAGAGTACAGCCAATTGTTGTCTAGTAGGGGGATGCTGAGTCATTTTTTCATGCATTTTTTTACCTCTTGGCTGCAATATCACCATTCATTGTTCACAAGCCACCCAGCTTGTTTACTTTTTATAAATTACATGTAATCAAGTCCTCTTTCAGGTCTGGCTACTGTAATTGGCAGCAGCCACAGAGCAGGGCTGACAAGTCTGCATTTATGCTGATGTCTCATATTCAGCCCACTCTCCAAGCTTTCTTTCCTCTTCCATGTGTATTTTAGAAGGAAGGCAAATAGAAGGAATGCAAAGAGAGAACTGTTAAGGTGTTCTCTCTTTTCAGATGATCCTAAGATACTTATAGCTTGGCAGAGCCCTTGTGTCATTTGGTTGGGAAAAAACAAGGGTCTAGAGCAGTCAGTGGTCCTTAAACTTCAGTGTGCATAACAATCACTGGGTAACTTGTAAAGTGAAGATTCTTGGGCTCTACCCTCCTTCTTATATTTTTATTAAGTCTGGGTAGGGGTCCAGAAAACTGCAGTTTCTAACTTGAACCCCTGCTGATTTTGATGTAGATGGTCCTTAGATTACTCTTGGAGAAATCCTGAGTTGGGCATAGAGGGAAAAAGAGACAAGAAAGAAAATCCAATAGAAGTAAATACTTATAAAGAGTGGAATAGGAAAGCAACAACCAAAACTGAGGGAGTAACTTTAATCTCTCTTCAGTGAGATGAAGGGAGTGAGTATGCTGTGCTGCTTAAAAAGATAAGTGTTTAGTTTTTTCTGGCAGTGAACGAGATCAAACTGTCCTCCAAAGAGGACATATTTAGAGGATGACAAAAGTGAAAAGGAATTTTTAGAAAGGTTAGAATATGAGAAAGTACCTAACTGTCGCCGAGAAACTCAAAAGACATGATTAAATCAAAGAAAGTATTTTGTAGGTGTCTGTTTAAAGAAGAATGTGCATTCCTGAATCAAGAGTTTATGAATGGCTTAAAGATGAAGAGGAGAGATGAAAGAGGATTAGCTGTTCACCAGAAGTTCTGGTTATTCTAGTTATTGGATCTGAAACCATATTATTAAAGTATAGTCCGGATTTCCTGGAATAGTTCACATTTCTAATATTCTTTCCCATTATTTTTATAATACATGTCTGATTTGCCCTAATTTTTGGTTAGTTGAGATGTGGTTGATGTGTAAAAGAACACCAAAAGTGGGTCTACTTGACTGAGGAAGCTCTCTTGCTTTCCAGCTCTGTGTTTGTGTATGTGCGTGTTAAATGTATATTTTCTAATCTATCTCTTTTAACCTAAACTTTGATTTTAAAGCCCACGTTAGAGAAAGAGCAAGAGAGACAGACTGACTCCACTTTAGAAAATTGGTCAAGAAGTGGACCAGGTGGGAATGGTTACTTAATCCTAGCAGAGGAATAAAGTACTTGACTTCCAGCTACCTGTTGAATGTACTCTGCTTCTAGACAGCTATTCCTTTTTTTTTTTTTTGGACATATTATTTCCATAGAGGAACTTTATAGTTCGATTCAGTAACCTTGGAGAGAGGTCCTGACCGAAAAACAAAAAAAGAAAAGAATTTTGGAAGATAATTATAAAGTGACGAGTATCACCAGCATTTGTTAAGTCATTCTTTCTTTATTCGAATTATCTCTGTATTAAAGTGTTCACTTTTCCATATACATGCTCTAGAAACCCAGATTGTACTTTAGAACTTTCACCGCTATAGTGTATTAACTAGCTTGCTAATCCTTTTTACCATCTTTGATGTTCTCTCCCTGCCATCTGCTCACAAGATTTTATAGAATCTTCATACCTGCATTGTAAGTGTTGAGGATCATTATTGTTATTGTATGAAGTGTCTACCACACCCTCTCATTGCACTAAGAGTCCAAGTAAGTGTAGTTAGTAGATCACTTTGCTCTGAAGTGAATAGAAGGGTTGTTGCTGTATGCTGGTGGAGACCCAAAACCAGCTTCTTCCATTTACTCTGGCAATCAAGAAAGGCTAGACTCCTGTATCTTCTACCCTGCACTTTGAAGACTGGGCTCAGGACTTGCTGTCTTCATTTCAGGTGACCTTATTTTCTTGCTTTCTTTTGTTTTTAAAATCATATACTTGGTATATCTTGGTGTATCTCCTTTTTATGAGCCTCTTAGTATTCCTAACTTTTCAGATTTTTTTTCTTCCTTGTGATTTATTCTAACTCATATACTGTTTAACATAGTGATGGGTGTTTCCAATGAATTTTTATATTTTCTGAAAACAAGTGTAAATGCTCTTAGAAGCATAACATTAAATAGCTATCAAAATGCAACATTAGGAAATCACATAAATTTTCAGTGGAAGTATTTTAACTTACAGTTTTCCATTTTGAGTTTAACATATAGAGAAAAAAAGAGTTATAAAATATTAGGTAAGCAGATTTATTGCCCTTTGCCTAAGTTACTAAAGGGAAGTGTTTCTTTTAAAAAAACTTGGTGTAGAAGATTTATCATGAAACTATAATATATATATTTGACTTTGTAATATTTTTATGTTTACTTATATTTGAATAGAAAATGTGCATAGATTTACTTAAAATGTATAGTATATTGGTATTCATTATTTAAGTTACAATTTTTAATACCCAGAGATTTCCAAATCTTTAATACCTACCTATTTATGCCAGTGATTCTTAAATAACTAAAAGATACTCTTATAGTAGCTTTTATGCACACTAAATTTTTTAGCAAATGTGCTTTGCTCCAAGTTGGAGAATTAGTTATATGTTGAGAAGCCCATGCTTTTACTAAGTGAAATTGAAACATAGATATTGAAATATTTTTCATCCTTCAACTAAGTTGTAGCCTTGAAAACATCTGTTTGTTTTCAAACAGGATCTGTTGTTTTTCTAAACCATATACTTCCAAAGCAGAATAGATTTTCTTCGAGATTTTTATTGAAATACCTCAAGGAGAAGAACATGACTCAAAAGAGGATAAAGGCTAATTTTTCTTAATGAAAGGAGAAAAACTTTTTTTACTCTTTCTATTCTTAATTTAGGCCTAGGAAATACCCTGAGTCCAAGGCCAGCTGGTTTCAGCATGCAGAGATGAGACTAGAACACGCTTCCTGATGCCCAGGCCAGAGCTGTTCTCATTACCATTTCTATATCCACCTCCATCTTTAGTGGGTTGCTGTGATTTCCAGCATTCAAACCGTTGCACATTTCCAGAGCCTTTCAGCTGTCTCATGGAGCAGTTCATCCCAATGACTGCTTTTTTAATTACTATTTTCAATTGTAATTAAAACAAAACAGCAACACATAACATAAACTTGACCATCTTAATCATTTTTAAGTGTATGGCACAGTAGGTTAAGTATTCAGATTGTTGTGCCAGCCCAATATCTCCTGCTTCTCCATTCAATCTCAGTAGCATTGGAAACAACAGAAGGGGCTTTATGCAAACACCTTTCAGGAAGGCGTGTGCCTCACCTGTGTTTGCTCCTTCACAGTAATAGGAAGTTAATTATGTGGGATTTGCTCACCTGATCCACACAGATGATCCTACTGTAGGATCATTTGGAAATCCCACACCCCTTTCTTCCCCTGAGGAAAAAATTCTTTCCTGATCCTAGATTCAGTGCTCTGTTTAATCTTGAGCATATGAGAATGAGTCACCATGGGTAAGTGTGTAATCTCGTTTATACCTTTCTTCCAACCCCCTTTTAATTTTTTAAATGTATGTTACTGGATCCTGCTTTTCTACATAAGGACTGGTGATTTGGAAACTAATTTTGGGACTGCGAGGTGTTGAGATTTTTTTTTTGGAACCAGTGCTTTCTGTTCTGCTGAACATAAAGCTGCATGGCCTAACTTCTGAAATTCAGGCTATGTATGGAATGTCTGTGTGGATGAAGAAACAAGCCAATGCCTTTTTTTGGGTCGGGGCCGGGGGGTGGGGGAGAGGCTGGGAGAACGATGAATGAAAATGTTAAGATAGTCTGATCTTGTGGGGGAAACATTCAGATTTTGAAAATATGTGCAAACCAAAGACGAGCAGTTAATTGCTTTGTGATTTTATTTTACCCACAAGAGAAATACTTGATATTGTGCCGAAGATGATGTTGAATAGGTATATTAACTCAGATAAAATAACAGTTCTACTTTTGATTCCAGTTATCCCTATCTATACAATGCATAAATGCTATTTCCATTTCTTCATTCATGGAATGAAAAACATTTCACTGGAAAATTATTTTTAAAAAAGTACTTTAAAGTACATTGGAATCTTTAGGATACTTTGAACATGGTGCTTAAAGAATGTAAATGGTTAATACTTGCTTTCATGCCCATAGAGGAATATGGGAGTGGGACTGACTTGAATATCAAAATGAAACTCTGTATCCATTTTTAAATACAGTATGCATTTGAGCAAAGACCTTCTCCCTAAATGCTTATTTTAAATTGGCAGTTGCTCAGCCAACAGTCAGTAATCTCAGTTAGCAAGTGTTTGGCACGCCTGTTTTTTAACCTGCACAGGTTCAGTTCACACAAAGAAAGGGAGGGTTGAGTTATGTGATGCAAACACCACGTTAGCCTCATTAACATATTTTGAATAACTGTATTTGAATATTTGCCAGCTAAGCTAGGCCATCTGAAGGCCTTCTGAACGAATTAGGAGTTTCTGAGCAGAGTGTAGAGATTTGAGCCTGTAAACTTTCTACTTTTTCTTCTTGAGAGGAAAGATTTTAGAAGATTCTATTTAGAATACTTTCCATACCCTCTCAAAAGAACACCCTTTTTTTTTTTTTTTAATTCTGCAGACATTTTGGACTTTCTACCACCCTTTTATATATCTTTAAAAGAGGTACCATAAGACGTGTCTCAGAAATACCTTTAGGTAATCTATCCTGAGTGGGTTTGAGTTTCTACTCAGCCTGTTTTTTGTCTTTGCAGAATTTAGTCCTGAAGCTCTTTCTGTGAGTCTATCTGGAGAACCTCTTCTGCAAACTTACTGTGTGAATGCCAGTGGTTGGAACAGGACAGATGGGATAAATTAGGGTGCCTGTAAACTCCTACCTAGTGGATGCTCAGATCATAAAGATGCCAGCCTGGTTCAACTCTATATAGTATAGAAATTGTTTTTACAAGCCTCCAGTTTTGTGGCCTGACATCTGTATCTGTTCGGAAATACTTTTTTTGACTTTGACACCTGTCTGGCTGAAACCACAACCTTGGGCTCTAAAACTGGGCAAGGGAGGAGTCCATTGGAACCAGGGGTTCTCAGATATTTTAATATACAGGGTTTCAGGGGTGAGAACATGAGGCAGCATATACTTAGCTCTCTAGTTTTCATTCTGGGGGACAGGTGAGAGGAGTATCAAAATCACCAGGGAACTCTTTGAAAATATTCACCTTGATTATTTTTTTCCTGTTTACCTGTTGTGGTGAAGGGTGGGTAGGGATGACTGTGTGATGAGGTGGCGTTTTGAATCTGGAATCTGCGGAAGCTGTGGGTGCTTACCACAGGGTGGTAGTTTCCATAGTTTGGGCCAGTTTGCAACCTGTCTTGTACTTACCCTTTGGAATGGAAAGATACAGTCTCATGATGCCAACTCTTACCCCTGCTTAAGGGTGTATTTGGTAGCATTTCCAGGAAATGATTCCTTCTACCTGAGGACTTTTTCCTTTTCTTATCTCTTTAGAGATGATTCTTAAGACTTACTTTGAAATCATATATATACACATATATATACACACACACACATATATATGAATTATCAGAAACAGGGAAGAATAAATTTGAGCATTCCTTTTTTTTATACATGTTTTGTAAATCTCTCCTTTAGTGGAAGGGAAAGAGGATGCAACTATGCTGAGAAATGTGTCTATTATGTAAATTGCTATTTTTAAAAAAACACTTGTAAAAACTAAGAACCTGGGAAAGAACTCCAGTGCATTAAATCAAGCCCTAAATTTTCAACAGACATTTTAATGAGTATATATTTTATACGTCGATTGTGTGTACATGCGTGTGTATCCTTTAAAGTTTTTAGATTGAGGTTACTAAATTTCAGCTCTCTTTTGTTGAACTTAAATGATTTACTCGTAATTTTGTCAGTGATTCTTACATTACACGATCACCATCTACTCATAATTAATTGTACAGACACAATTTTAAATTTCATAGCTTTTTTTTCCAGTTGATTTGTTACAGCCTGTTTAAAAGACAAATTTATAGGCAATTGTAATCTTCATGAAGCAATGTGAGTTGATGAATACCTTTGAATGTCGTTTCAGTATTTTTCTTTTTTATTATAAAATGTTAAATATGTCATTTGTGAAGCTTCTCTCTTGTGTCGGTTTGTTGTATTTGACACAATAGGAATACTCATGCAGTGTTTGTTACCAGTTTCACGATATGCATTCAACATCTCTGAAGGTGGTGAATACAAAATCTGTTTTTCAAACAAGTACATACATGAAACTAAAACAATTTATTCAAGTCCTAAAACAACATTAGTGAAACTTCAGTTCTGCCACTGGGCCTACATTTAAGCTGATAGCATGTGTGTGTGGGAAGAAGATACAAATTACTGATAATCTCTTTAGAATGCATTAATATTTTCAGGCCCAAGTATGAGTATTCAGTAGGTTCATCAGATTAAAAAAGCTAAATGAAATTTAAGTACTGACTTGTATGTTTCCTTTAATTAATTTTGGTGCCTTACTAATTGGTATTTGCGGGGATATGTAGAATTTTTTGAATTGGTTTTTTTATTCTCCATGTTTTAGTTATAAAGCACTATAAGGAGAAAGTGAATGAAGAGGCTGCCTTCAGGTGTAGTAAGGTTTAACTCGTATCCCTGTTCCAACTTGTCCTACTCTCAGCTTGCTCCTTAGCTTCCTGGCTTATTTACATATTGTATAATCCAGACTGGCTTGTCCCGTTTGGTAGGTTGGTTATAAACTGCAGAGCTAAGTAAATGTGTGATAACATTTTAAATGGTATGAGAAGTTAAACAGTACTTAAGGAGTGATGTCGTAAAGAACCCCAGCTGTCAGGTGCCCCAGGGTTGGCCTCCTTT